AAGAAAACTGACTATATGTATACATACCTGCGTCCGTCACATTCATCTTTTATATTGTTCAGCTTCCTTGAGGATATCTCTTCAAACGTACAACTTCTGTTGCTGGTAGACCTACAATATCACCACAGTGTCGACTATCAAGGGACTAATATCATGTGGAGATCATATCATGTGGACACCATCATCATTAGGGTTACCAATTGGAGCTTGTCTTGATAAGAGGTGACACTCCCTATCTAACGCTATGTAATCAATATAGGCTCTTTGGTTTTAGCTAGTTAGTTGCAAACTTGAAGGATTTTTCTACTGCGATCCGCATGCAGTATTGATATATATTATATTTGATCAACTTTGTCTCTTTCCGTCTTCGTTATTGTTCCTTAGACATAGGAGACTAATATGTAGGAGGTCACGAGGTGGATTGCCACGTTCTGCTCATTGTTCTTTCGATGGCTCAACTGTTTTAATGCAGGTGACATCACCGCTTCCTATGAGAGACTACGATTAATTAATATATGTACATAATTAATAAATGTACATAATTAATACAGTAGACAATTAATACAAGTATATGACTATAGAGGGCGTCACCGTCGCGTTCTTACCTCTCGTGGCAGACGTCCTCGCTGTTAGACTCGCGGCCGTAATAGACTGCCGTTATGCTTATCCGCTGCCGGGTTTTACACGATATCGTGTCCTTGTCTCCCTCACAGATGTCGAGCAGTCTAGAGCTGGCAGACTGACAGAAGGAGCCCGTGTAGCCCGTGCGACAGTCGCACCAAACCTTGCCGTGCTTCGCCGTACAAGTGCCGCCATTTTGACACGGATCCGAGTCACAATCGTCACCGTTCGAACCTCCTGCGACGGATGATGATGATGATGATGATGATGTACATGAATAAAATAAAGAATATGATTATTAATGATGTATTATAAAAATACTGTTTATGATATGTAATATAGTGTATAAGGTGTGTAATATAGACTCATATACATATATGTTATTATATTTAAGGAGAACGGTCGCAAGTCACTTAAGAACGGCGACAATGATGATGACGTCGACGATGATGACGACGGCGACGATGATGATGACGTCGACGATGATGACGACGGCGACGATGATGACGACGCCGACGATGATGACGCCGGCGACAATGATGACGACGGCGACGATGATGACGACGGCGACGATGATGACGACAGCGACGACGATGACGACAGCGACGACGATGACGACAGCGACGACGCCCGCTCACCTGACTCGCAGTATAGTCCGGTGTTGCCTCGCTTGCAGTCACATCTGAACCTCGTTCCCAGGAGTAGCGGTAAGGCAAACGTTCCTCCGTTCTTGTAACACGGCGACGCAGAGCACCAGATGTCGGCTGCAGTATATAAACGGCTACATGGAAACACGCGAACGGACCGGAACGCCGTGTCGATCGCATCGAAACGGAAGAGTTAAACTTCTAATAGCTTTTACTTTAGATTACTCTTTAAGTATAAACATGAAACTCGCGGTGGTATGTAGGCTATTTAATTAATGTTTATTTACTAGAACTAGAGACTATGAATGGTCAGTGCTATCCCTGTGATCAGTCCTTTACGTATTCTTACGGTAAAGCTGCTCAATATTTTAATCCTGTACCATCATTAACAGTACCTCCGCCAGTTTTCCTCTCGTGTAGTTACAGTTTATATTAGTTAGTACCACAGTAAACTATTTATTTTACCGTACATTGACAGCGCAAGGCAGCAACATGGCTTCAGTAGTGTGATGTCTTAATACCATAGAGAGTGAAGGCCACTTGTTAGGAAACGAGAATTAAAGAAAGCGCTCGCGAGTCGTATAAAGTCGTCTGCGTAAACCGCATGTGATTCTAGCTTTTATCATCGTGAGATAAATTAACGGGTTTAGCTTAATAAACGAGCGGTTTGTACATACAATCGATTCGTTCTTGCTCTTGACTTGACTATTTGTGTTTTAATTGCTTGTTTAATGACGCGGAATGTAAGAAAGCGCCGCGCGCGTCTTTTATAAAGACCTACCGCAAAACGGCATGTGACTTCATATCATGCAGCGAGAGTAAAATAACGGTAAAGTAGATTAAGAAGTAATTAAAATAACTAATAAACAAGCGGTTTGTACTACCGATTCGTTCTTAGATACGACTTTTACTTACTCTTTAAGTATGTTATAAACGTCCGCCCGGGTTCGATGTTTTATGAGAGAAATTTGATCTTTACGACCAATAATGCATCTAGCGAAGCATTTTGCAAATATATAAATATCGTTATACAATCTATCAAATGATTCTGTTCACCAGGTTTGAATCAGTATCGTTAATCTAATTAATAGCCATCTCCCGAAGGTGAGTCAAAATCTATTAACGCATGGTGAAGTCTGATTCCGACGAGCAAAGTCATGCTGCAGAAATATCCAATCAGAGGGGCGTTGTATGCGCAACCGAAACTGCGCACCCGGTCGTAAAACGTGATGAAACAGAACGTTGACAGTGTCATAATAAATTATATATATTTATCTATATAGTCTATATTATGACAGTCGCACTCGATGAGTGAGATGACGTCATGATCGTGAGATGACGAACGGACGTTGTACGACGATTCTACGTCTCGCAGAGTTTCTAGTCCAGCCACTGCGACACGAACACCGGAAGTCGTCGGCCATTCTCACTGCAGGCGTGCGTTGTTCAGACACAGGGTTCGGGATCGCATCCAATACCGACGCCTGGTCTAAGCCTGTGTGCAACGTCACGGGGTCAATGAAGGTCAGCGTTGGAATGAGGTGTTCGACGAGGTTAAACACGTAAATGAAATGTATACGGAAATAAAGGCGATAGGAAAGAAATAAATGTAAAGGATGAATGAACAGAATGAACGAAAGAAGCGAATAAATAAATAATTAAAATGATAGACAAAATAAAACAAAATAAAAACAAAATAAAATGTTTTGCTCCTGCACCGGCCACATTCTCCGTCATTTAAACTTACGTATTTGGCACATACGCTGCCACGTATGCCCACGGAGCAGACACAGTAGAACTTATGGCCCCATTCCTTGATGCACGTGGCGGCGATCGACACGGGATTTAGATCGACAAGGGTCCAGAATCTGAAGAAAAGAGAATATATATATATATTAGTATATATATATATATATATATATATATATATATATATATACATAGGCCCTATATACATACGTTTGCGAGAGATCCCGGAGACGAAAAAGAAGAAGATATATATATATATTTATATATATATATATGTTCATAACATAGATATCCCTTGTAAATTTTCTTACTACATATCTATAAATGGTAGCACAGTAGAAAATATGTACCAGGTGAATGCGAACGTATAAAGCATAGGTTGGAATTCACATGAAAACGCCCCAGTACGGCGCGATACGTTAGCACCTATATTCGTGTCATCACATATTCGTGTCACAAATAGCTGTCTCTATTGTTCATTTCTATGGATTATATTGGATTTTGTCCTCATTCACAGTCGATAACGTTGTCGTAGGCCTACTTGTCTCTCTCGTGTCACGAAGAGCTATGTCTCTATTGTTCATTTTCTATGGATGATATATTTTGTCCTCATTCACAGCCGATAGCGTTTGTCTTACTTGCGTTACAGGTGGAGCCACCGAAGCCTGTGGCGCATGAACACCGCGGTGTCGCTCCGTCAGTCGTGTAGCATCTCCCGCCATTCAGACAGACGAAGTAGCGACACGGATCCGGTCCGACTCTAACTGCAAGAACCGAAACGAAAACAACGGAACGAAAGTTAAAACCGGAAAGAAAGTTACGAGAGAATGCTGCCGCGCTAAATCCAGTTCAGTTCAGCAAAATTATAGTATAAACGCTAACTGTAATTATGTGTAATTTAGCATTTATACGCGAAATACGTCAATGACTGCGCACTTGTTATGCAAGGATGGGCGTCGATGATTTTATTCATGATTATATTACGTGTATCCGGATTTTTCGCAGTGTTTACGTGTAAGGGTGCTTGACGAAGAGTGAACGCTACTATCTGCACATCGCTGGGAAATTATGAAAGCCAGCTGATATCGTGGAGATATTAATTAAATAGTTCACAGTGCAAAGCTATCGAATTTAGATCACACATTAGTCTAGTCCGGACCAGATCGAGATAATCATTAAAACATGAAAACAGACACAAATCACTCGTGAATCGGACCAGAACGAGACAAAGTTGCACTGCGCATGCGTACAGATAAGCGCATTACTTACTTCACATAGCAACAGTGTTGTGCGGACAATAGTACGCGAATATTTAGCACGGGTTTAAAAGCGCGTTTGGCCCATAACGTTGTAAATATTAGTCTTCAAAGTCCAAGGGACTATATCGAAGACGGAAAGAGACGGAAATAGACAGATCAACACTGCGGATCGCAGTAGAAAAAGCCTCAAATTTGCAATTTACTAAAGAGGAAGGGAGAGAATTCCAATACGGAATGACAGAAACAAAGAAGCTAAACTTAAAGTGATCCTTAGAAGATGGCACGTGTCGGAAGCAATGATCACGCTCAGATGATCATATGATGCCCATATCAGTTTTGAGGCGCATACTTAACACGCATACACACAGTGTGAGTATTTCGAGCGGACACGGACTAGTTAGGGTTAGATGAGGTGTGCAGGTTTCACACGGGGTAGTATAGCGCACGCACGTCTATTTGTCTGTCTATTTGATCAACTTTGTGTGTCTATTTGATCAACTTTGTGTGTCTATTTGATCAACTTTGTCTGTTTATTTGATCAATTTTGTCTGTCTATTTGATAAACTTTGATTGTCTATTTGATCAACTTTGTGTGTCTATTTGATCAACTTTGTCTGTCTATTTGATCAACTTTGTCTGTCTATTTGATCAACTTTGT